CTGATTTTCATTTCTGGCACCAACTGGTCCCTTGTGGCACCTCTCAGAGCAAGCCCAGAGCATAGCTGAATATGACCCCAAATATAAAATTTTTAAGTTTACTTTCTGCTAATGCTATCAACCAAAGTAAAGTCCATCACAAGAAACTAGCCCTCAAATATTAATATTTGCAGATAAGTGTGTAAGCAACAAGAAAAACTCCACCAACCATACTTTTTTGATTAATGAAAATTGATTGGTGTTTCTTGGTATGGGCTAAAAACACTTCTATTAGTATCAGGATATCAGTGCTGGCTCAGTCTTCCAATCTCAAATTTCAATAAAATGTAAATTATAAAGCTATAACACCTTCATTAAAATATAGCTTTGGGGGCAAGGATTTGAATCAGTAGTAGATAACATGAATAAGGCTTATAACTGAATCCTTACTATACCCCCTCTTTTTAAATATATAACTATAATACACCATTTATTATGCATTATTTTTCAAGTCTACTGAGTTCAAACATTTTAGATTTTGGGGGTTTTTTGCTGTTGTTATTGTTTTGCTTTTTGGGTCACACCCGACAATGCTCAGCGGTTACTTCTGGCTTTGCACTCAGGAATTACTCCTGGCGGTGCTCAGGGGACCATATGGGATGCTGGGAATCGAACCCAGGTTGGTCGCATGCAAGGCAAATGCCCTACCTGCTGTGCTATCACTTCAGCCCCTAAACATTTTAGTTTTATGGGAAATATTTTATGGAAAGTTGTGACACTTTTAGGATTTCTCTTTAAAGTGCTGGGGGAAAAAAGTAAGACAAGGAAGGTATAAGCATGGATATATAACAAAGTATTACTTTGAAAAGGGTGAGGGGAGTTAACTTAAAGGGCTGAGCACATGCTTCAGACAGGAATCCAGATTTAAAGCCCTGGCACCAAGTGGTACCTGGGCATTGTGGTAGAAATTTCCCATGAGCACCACTGAATTTGGCCCCCAATTTTAAAAAATAAATGAGTGGGAATAAGACCATATGATCATAATTGTTTGCTATGCATGAAAGTCATTGTTGAAAGACAGTCAGTTTCATTCTTTTTTAGTTTAAGAACTTTTTAACAGGTGCTTGCAGTCTAACCTTTTTAAAATTATTGTTGTAAACTTTTTATTACAAATTAAAAACGAGGTTCTTAAAAATCTCAACTTGACCCAGATATGAAAGTTTAAAAGTCTTCAAAGGTATACTGAGAAAAACATTTTTCCCCCACTAAAAACATGGAAATTAACCAAAAATAGTCGTGTTTAGGTAAAAAATAATAAAACTCCATGCTGCATAGATAACGCATATAGTTCCGGTTACTTGGTCAATGGGAAAAAGCAAGCACTTCAGGTCTTCAGTTCCAATCTTTTGTTCATTTCTTATTTCTGGAATTCCATATTCATTTCTTCTTGTAGGATGACTAAACCTACAAGTCAAAACCTGATGATCATTTCACGGACGAATTCTCAGCTAGTGAATCGGCTGCTTTTGTCTCTTTGCCATCTTGTGGCTTAGTATTTTCTGGGCATCTGCTTGGGTAATTGAAGAAGTGGCTGCTGATCTTAGGTCTCATCGCCTTATCTTCATTTCCTTATCTTCTCTGACAGCCTGTCTTTGGTGAGGAAGGCCCCTACGGCAACATGGTCTACAACCTCAATAACATATATTGCTTCACTGATTGAACTTGCTGTTTTGCACCCCGGCTGTTAGCTCCCCCAACACTTCTCCCTGTACAGGAGGGTTGGAATACTGTGGTATATGCCCCTAGGGTCTGCACATGTAGTAAGATTGGGAACCGTAGCCAGTGGTTGGGCCTTCGCTATTGAGCCTGTCCCGGGAGCTGCTGATAATTGAGTGGAGGACCCTTGCAATGTGAACAGCGTATGTAATGGTTACAATCTAAGAGGGCGTGTTTCTGCCTTTCGTTGGAACTCCACCAGGATCTGGAATATTCGCTGATGCCATCCCCTTTTCTCCTTCAAAAACATCAAACTCCACAGCCTCTCTCCATGTCCTACACTGCAAAGGTACTTCCTAAGGTTATTCTTCATGGCACTCTGGTGTATAAATACATCTTCCATGGTTTCCTTCCTGTTGAAACCACATCTGTTCCTTACATGGAATCATTTTACTGTTCCCCAAACCTTCCTTCTCCCAGAGATGCTGCCTGTGGTGTGGCCTTGGTGTCTGCAGCATTGAGGGCGAGGTTGACTACGTCTTGGCCCCACTGCTCCCAGTTGCAGTGACAGTGACTGGCTGGCTCCTCCTGGGGTGTGATGGCAACTGGACCAGCGGCAGCAGCAGTGGACTTGCTCATGATCTCTGGGGTTTGCTCCCCCTCCCCATCAAACTTATCTTTTTGTTTGTTTGTTTGAGGACCACATCCCACAATGCTCAGGGGTTACTCCTGGCTCTATATTCAGGTTTTATTCCTGGCAATGATCTGGGGACCATATGGGATGCTGTAAATAGCATCCGGGTCAGTTGTGTGCAAGGCAAGCGCTTTACCTGCATAGCATCTTTCCGGCCCCAATCCTTTAAAAAAAAAAAAAAGGCACAAGACTTTAAAGCATCTCTCTCAAAACTGGATTGTCTGCTTACAGGGTTAAAGTAGTTCATTTTGCCTAAAGAAAAGTCACATTTCGAATCATAACTAGTATGTTTTTTTCAAGCAGCTGATTTTAGAGTGAGTTGGGGCCTCCCGGTGCTTACCAGAGGCTGTGTTAACACTGACCATATAGAAAAGAGTCATAGTAAAATCATTCCATATACATCTCAGCCCAGGCTCTTTGCCTGGTCTATATTAGTGGGGAGCAAAGGGAAAAATAAGTAAAATTGAGTTGGAACTGGGGTATAGCTCAGTGACATCACGCTTGCCTAGCAATTGTGAGGCCAAGTTCAATCCTCAGCAGCACAAACATAAATTAATAAAATTGAATTAATCAACTGCTAGGATAAATGAAAATTTCAATTTCAAAATTTGCTTTTTTGGGGGCTGGAGAGATAGCACAGTGGGTAGGGTGCTTGCCTTGCCCTAAGCACCGCCAGGAGTAACTCCTGAGTGCAGAGCCAGGAGTAACCCCTGTGCACCGCCAGGCGTGACCCCCTCTCCCCCCCCAAAAAAAAGTAAAAAAAAAATTGCTTTTTTGGTACTTCAAACTGGTAAAGGTAAAGGTAAAGGCCCTCCCGTTGATCATCAATTTGCTCGAGCGAGCCCAGTAACGTCTCCGTTGGAGACTTTGTTGTTACTGTGTTTGGCATATCAAGTACCTCACGGGGAGCTTGCCAGGCTCTGCGGGGCGGGCGAGATATTCTCGGTCAGGCTCTCCGAGAAGGGCGGAGGAATCGAACTCCGGTGGGCCATGTTGTCTGCGTGCAAGGCAAACGCCCTACCGCTGTGCTATCGCTCCAGCCCCCAAAAAAGCAAATTTTGAAATTGAAATTTTCATTTATCCTAGCAGTTGATTAGTTCAATTTTATTAATTTATGTTTGTGAAATTTATGTTTATGAAATTTTCAAACTGAAGTTCTCTTTTCTTTCTGTGTCAGCTGAAATAATAATTTGCTTTTTACTCCTAGACTGACATCCTGGACTAGATATTTATCATCAGTGACCAGGTACATGGTGAAATGTTTGGTGGATGGGCAGAAGAGGACAGAAATAGAAAGGGGAAAATAATCTCAGTGGCCTACAAAATTTATCCTTTGTAGAACACAGTTCAAAAGTCGTGTTTACATTCCAGGTAGCAGCCCGGAGAGATAGTTCAAGACACTCTGAGCCTGCAGGTTAGACTTCCACACTGCAACAAAGTACCTGTGAGCACCAGGAGGAGCAGCCCCCTTGCCCTGAACACCACTGGGGGACCAACCCCCAGATTGCCTAAATAACCCAGGAGACTAAGGAAATGAGGAGATAAACAAATACTTGTGGAGAATTTTTCAGCTTGTTCTTTGTATCTTCAAGTTTCCTTCTTTCTTCCTCTCTTCAGGGTTTGGAACCACACCCAGAAGTACTTGGGGAACAGGTGGTGCCCTGAAGAAACTGGGTTCCCAGGTGCAAAGCAAGTGCTCCACCCCATTGCACAATCTCCCCCATCCTGGATTTTTTTTCCCCTTTTAATCACAGAATTCTAACTGCGCTCTCCGCAAAGTCACCTTTTGCCTTTGGGATCCAACCAACCGGTACTGAAGGAAATACGACTAATTTCCTCTTACTGTTTCTTCTCAATCGCCAGTCCCGTTTTCAGCACTTTGGGCACCCTGATCTCGAGCAGTTAACCGAATCTTTTCGGCAGTGTTTGTTGGGGGCCGGGATCTAGTCCAGGGGTCTCCTAAACACGCAGCTTGTGCTCTACGGGGCTACATCCCTGCCCCGATACATTGAACTCGGAATCCCACACTGTGAAAAACTTAAAAAAAAAAAAAAAGTCACAGGTGACTAAAAGGAAGTTATTATACTTTGCTCATCGCTAGTAACTACCAGAAAGGCGGAGTTCCACACGTCAGCACTCCCGAGGGCGAAACCGCCTAGTCTCGGAAGAGGTGGAGAGCGCCGGGAAAGCGGTGAGGCGCGCACTTGAGCAACTCCGGAAACCGGACGGGCCCTCGGAGGGGAGCGTCTTCGCCCACCTCAGCCCGGGGCTGCGAGCGGAAGCGGTGGGCGTTTCTCGTCAGGGCAACGCCCCTACTTGCTTTCCGGAACCAATCAAACCGCTTCCGGCTGGGCGTACTGGCCTTTCCTCCCCGTAACGACACTTTCGAGAAAGCCGTGCGGCCGAATATTTTCCTCTGGCACGCCTGTATTTTCATTCGCTCCTCTTAATGACTCTCCTGGAAAAACTAAAAGTGAGGTCAGGCGCCGTGAGAGCCGGGCGCGGCCGAGGAGAAGGAGGAGCGCCGCCGAGCGGGCGTGGCGAAAGTGCGTGAGCGGAGAGCCTGGCCGGCCCCGGCTCGCCAGCCGGAAGTTGCGAGTCCGAATGGGGCCGGAGCCGGCGGCCGCGGCTCTTTTCTGCACTTGACGCCTGAGCGCGGCTCGGCTGCGGAGCTGGTCGGCCCCGGGGCCACCAGGTTCATGTGGAGGCTCCCGGGCGTCCGCGCCGTGCTTCGTGGGGTGCGCACGGCGCTGGAGCGGCGCAGCCAGGCGGAGGCGCCGGCCGAGGAAGGCGCGATGGAGCGCGCGGTGGTCCGCTGCGTGCCCTCGGAGCCGAAGCTCAGCCTGTCGTTCGCCTTGGCCGACGGCAGCCACAAGAACATGCAGCGCGACCAGAGCGAGCCGCTGGGCCGGGCCCTCAGCCGCATCGCCACCAACGCCCTCAAGGGCCACGCGAAGGCATCTGCCGCCAAGAGGAGCAGGAAGAACCGGCCCGCGGCCAGCGCCGGGGGGACCGGCGCCGGGCCCGGGTCCGAGCCGACGGCCCCCTGCGAGCCGGTGGTGAAGCTGTACTACCGAGAGGAGGCCGTGGCCGAGGACGTGCTCAACGTGGACGCCTGGCAGGACGGGGCGGTGCTGCAGATCGGCGACGTCAAGTACAAGGTGGAGCGCAACCCGCCCACCTTCACCGAGCTGCAGTTGCCGCGTTACCTCATGGCCGGCTTCCCCGTGTGCCCCAAGCTCAGCCTGGAGTTCGGGGATCCCGCCCACTCCCTCTTCCGCTGGTACAAGGAAGCCAAACCCGGAGCGGCAGAATCGGAGGGCGGGGGACCCTCGTCCTTGTCGCTCTCTTCACCCTCTCCCGCGTGGACGGAGACGGGTGTCGATGCACGCGTCTACACCCCGTCTAACGCCGACATCGGCCTCCGGCTTAAGCTGCACTGCACCCCAGGCAATGGGCAGCGCTTCGGACCAAGCCGGGAGCTGGAAAGTTGCCCCGTGGAGGCCGGGCCCGGCACCTGCACCTTTGACCACCGGCATCTCTACACCAAGAAGGTGGCGGACGATGCTCTCATCCGCACCGTCTCCTACAACATCCTGGCTGACTCGTATGCCCAGACCGAGTTCTCGCGGACGGTCTTGTATCCATATTGTGCCCCTTACGCCCTGGAGCTCGACTACCGCCAAAATCTTATTCAAAAGGAACTCACGGGCTACAATGCCGACCTCATCTGTTTGCAGGAGGTTGACCGTGGCGTGTTCACTGACAGCTTGATGCCCGCCCTGGACGCCTTCGGGCTTGAGGGTGTCTTTCGGATCAAGCAGCATGAAGGCCTGGCCACTTTCTACCGAAAATCCAAGTTTAATCTCCTGAGCCAGCATGACATTTCCTTCCATGATGCCCTGGAGTCTGACCCACTGCACAAAGAACTGGTGGAAAAACTCGTTTTGAACCCATTGGCGCATGAGCGGGTCCTCCAGAGATCTTCCGTCCTTCAGGTCTAGTAGCTCCACCAGACTCCTTCCCTCCTACACTTTTCAGGTGTCTCAGGCACGGTGCTTATAGTTGAGAAGAAACCATCCCAGCCTACTGAAAGGTGTCTGTTGGTATATCTTCAGCCCAAAGTTTGGCAGTGATTCATTCGTTGAGCACATCCTTGTTGAGCACCTGCAGTGTGCCTGGCATGCTGCAGGTTGCCTTGAACAAGACCAGCGGGATATAGTGCTTAACAGTCTGGTAGGAGAGCACATGTTAAAATGCAAGGATAATGGGAATGACTAGTATTCTCCATTCTTGTCAATCACTAGAACGACCCTTTGTTTGTTTGGTGGTTTTTTGTTTGTTTGTTTTTTAGGAGGGGAAGAGGGTGCATACTGGCAGCATTCAGGATTTAATCCAGGCTCTGGACTCAGGAATCACCCCGGGTGGGCTGAAGAGACCATAGGCAGTGGTGGATCAAACCTGAGTATTGCTTGTAGGGCAGGCACCTTACCCGCTGTACTATCTCTCCAGCAACAACCACATTTTTGAAATACGTAAAATAGTAGCTGGCATGTTTTAAAGGTGTTCCATAAGTATTTTACAGTGGAATGTTGCAGTTTACAAATACTACTCTTCCTAGTATATAAGTAGAGAAGTGTACTAACTTACCCAGGTTCACAGGAGTGTGGGGCCAGGATCTTAACCAGTGTAGTTGTATTTTCTATCATCACTGATCACTGTAAAACTACTATTTAGCTTAAGTTTACCTTCATTTATAGAAGTAAGTTCATTGGAGGGGCAGCAAGATAGTACACCGGCTTAGGTGCTTGCCTTGCATACTGACGAGGATACTGGCATAGACAAAATGTCTTTTCAAGTCACACTGCTATATAGTAGAGTGGGTATTCACACCTAGTTGCTCCCAACTCTAAAACCTGTTAACATGTTTTATTAACACTCAAAGATACATGTAATACACATATATGTATATACATATATATTCATATAAAATAAACGTGTGTATGTATATGTGTCAGGGCCACACCTGACTAAGTTTAGAGAAAATGTTTTTTAAGTGCATAAGTGTAGCATTGGTCTTCCTGACCCGGGAGTCAGCACTTAGAAACAGTCTCTAAGCTGGAGAGACTGCTCAAAGGGCTAAGTTCTTGATTTGCATGGAGGAGACCCAATTGGATATTAGTACTTCCTGGTTCCTCAGACAACCCCTAGGCACCACTAGGTGTGACCTGAAAAAGCAAATCTTCAGACACTGCCCAGCCAGAGAGGTAGCTCAGTGGGCTGTGTGAGCACCTTAGGAGTGACCCTGAGCAGAGCCAGGTGTATTCTAAAACAAAAAGAATGGAAAAGAAAAATCGATATTGGAGTGTTAATAAAATGTTCCAATGATTCCTGTCCCTATAGTATATAGTCTAAAACTTGTAAGAAGAAATTAGGATTTTTGTTGTTTTGAGGGTCACACCCAACTGTGGTCAGGATTTACCCCGGCTCTCTTCCCTTGACAGTCTCAGGAAACCATGTGTGCTGCACTACCTGATGTACTATCTCTCTGGCCCCCAAAATTAAGATTTCTTAATTGCAGTCATTTTATGAGTAAGAAAAGTCAGTTCTTAATATCCCTCAGATTAGAAGTCAGATACAATCAGGAGATTGGCAGATCCTAACTGAACTCTTATGTTTATTTCAGGTTTCTGTTCTTCAGTCTACAAAAGATCCTTCTAAAAAAATCTGTGTTGCCAATACCCATCTGTATTGGCATCCAAAAGGTTAGTTTCATTTGTTTTTATGCATAGCATTAACATGGTTAATTAAGGTCTTAAAATAGCTTAAAGCTATTTCACATAGATATATGTGTGTTTAATGTCACATGTATTTATTTTTTCTTAGGGTTTTGATAGAACCATAAGTTTAAGGTGTGTAGGATAATGACAGTATATTTTCTAAAATATCAGATTTAGTTGATATCCATTACCTCATATAAATACCAAAATTTGGTTGTTGGAGAGATAATACAGGGGGTAAAGTTCTCCCTTGCGTGTGACCAACCACATTTGACATCTGGCCGTGGAAACACGAGTGACCCTCCAAGCCAGACCTGGGAGTAGCCTCCCGCACTACCAGGTGTAACCCCAAACCAAAATAACAAATAGAAAAAGAACCTGGAAGTTTATAAAATATTATTACTGAATTTTTTTTTCTTTTGCAGGGAGGAGGGGGGAATTTTGTAGTCACATCAGGCGATGCATAGGCATTACTCCTGGCTCTGCACTGAGGAATTACTCCTGGCATTGCTTGGGGGACCTTATGGGATGCCAGGGAGGGAACCTGGGTGGGCCACATGCAAGGCAAAGGCCCTACCCACTGTACTATTGCTCCAGCGCCCTGAATCACTGAATTACAAAGTTACTCATGATTATGTTTCAGGTGTACAATGTTTCAACTCCAGTCCCTTCACCAATGTCCACTTCTCTCCACCAAAGTTTTTTCTCTCCCTTCCCCCAACCTGCCTCTATGGCAGGCTTTTTTAAATTTTTCTTTTAAAAAATGTATTTATTTTGGGTTTGGGGGCCAGACCCAGCGATGCTGAGGGGCTACTCCTCAGCATCTGCATTCAGGAATTCCTACTGGCGGTACACAGGGGACCTCATGAAATGCTGGGATTTCGCATGCAACCCAGGTCAGTCACATGCAAGGCAAGCGCCCTGCCTGCTATGCCATCTCTTAGGGCACTATTTTTCCTTTTAGACACAGTGTAGTACTGTTAACAGTAGGGTATCACGCATATTACTTTACCTCTTTTCAGCACCCAATCCTTGTCCAGAGAAAACCTGGAGATTTTATTTTTTGATCACTTTCGTGTAATTCCCACACCCTAAACCACAAGTAGTATCTTGATTATTACCCAGATACCACAATTTGTTATCTTTCTTTTTTTTTTTTTTAACTTTAAAAACTTTTTTTTTTTTTATGTTCACAGGTGGGTATATTCGTCTCATTCAAATGGCAGTAGCCTTGGCTCACATTAAACATGTCTCATGTGATCTGTATCCTGGCATACCAGTTATATTTTGTGGGGACTTTAACAGTACCCCATCAACAGGAATGTATCATTTTGTCATCAATGGCAGTATTGCAGAGAACCATGAAGACTGGGCTTCCAACGGGGAGGAAGAACGTTGCAACATGTCTCTTACCCATTTCTTCAAACTGAAAAGTGCATGTGGTGAACCTGCTTACACAAATTATGTTGGTGGCTTTCATGGATGTCTGGATTACATTTTTATTGACTTAGATGCTTTAGAGGTTGAACAGGTGATTCCATTACCTAGTCATGAAGAAGTTACCACACACCAGGCCTTACCTAGTGTTTCCCATCCTTCTGACCACATAGCACTGGTATGTGACTTAAAGTGGAAATAGAATTACATTTAATGGAGTTTTAAAATTGTCCTTAATAGGAAATTAATAAAATCAAACCTTACATGTAACTTTCAAAAAGGAAAACTAGACACTAAGCTCAAATGTTCTTACCCTACTTGTTATGTCCCAGTATCTTCATTACTTGACTGTTCATGTTTGCATAAATAGTTTCTCTGACCTTTTTTTTCTACATTTAGAGAAAAGACATATATTTATGACTATCAGGAAGAAAATTGAATTATTGTGTATCTTTTATAAGTACTTTTTATTTAGCTAGTAAATAATTTTTTAAGTGCCATATGAATGAGTCTACCATTTTTCTGTCATGATACCTTTCCAATTGAATCATGTTCATACAGAGGGAAAGTTCATACAAATTAAGGAGTGAGAGGTCTAAGTTGTGATCCCTGGCAGGAATAACATTAGGATCTACCTCTACCTCAATTTAAATAACAATTTAAAACACTTTAAGAGCTTTAACAAAAGATTAAAGTATACTATCAAAGTTGTTACTGCTTCTTTCTTTTTTCACTTAGCATAAATTGTTTTTAGGAGTTTAGCTTTTAATGGATGGTATAGACGGACTTATATTTCCATTCTTACTGCAGCTCATTTTAACTTTTAGAATACAATCACAATTTAAAATTCAGTTAATAGTAATGGGAGTTAGCTTGATCCCATTATTTTCAATTACGCTTACGTGTGAAAATCAAAGCAGTATGGTATAGACCATTTGATATTATATAAAACATATAGCACAATACATTACTTATTGAGAAATGGGACTACTGAAATTTTTGATGAACTATTGATCATATCTTTATATTACAAATATTTTCAAAATTGTTTTTATGAATAGAAGTGAAAGTAGTAGGGCTTCTGAACATCTCAAAATTTCAAATAAATATATACTTGGAGCATTTTAGGTTAGTTATGGGGAATCATTATATATATAATTTATATACTTATAAGAAACATTAATATATATTAAAGTCAGATTTGTGCTAGTCTTGAGTGGTAACCACTTTTTTGACTCATTATCACCATACTTTATTTAACTGTTGGTTTGTTGATATTCAAGATAGCTGTAACTTACCTCATTTCTGCAATTCCTGATTTAGGTATTAAAAAACCACTAACCTTGGTTTTGCTTTTTTCTTGCGGGGGACTATACTTTGTGGTGCTTAGGGGTTACTCCTAACTCTGTGTTCAGGAATCACTCCTAGAGTGCCCAGGGGACCATATGGGATGCCAGGGATCAAATCTGGATCAGCAGCATACAAGGCAAGCACCCTACCCACTGTACTACCACTCCGGTCCAAAAGCCCACTAACCTTGGAAGAAACCTTGATTTTTCTATTCATAAAAGCCTTTGTTCTAAATTCTTTTATCTTTAAACCCAGTCCTATAAGAACTTTGCTCCTTTGATAGTACTCTGTACTTTCATGTTCTATCTAATATATTGTTAACTCTTAGTTTAACAAGTTTGATAAAGAGAGCACTTTGCTTGCATTTTTTTTTTTTTTTGCTTTTTGGGTCACACCCAGCAATGCACAAGGCTTCCTCTTGGCTCTGCACTCAGTTATTACTCCTGGCAGTGCTCAGGGGACCATTTGGGATGCTGGGATTCAAACCCAGGTTGGCTATGTGCAAGGCAAACCCCCTACCCCGCTGTGCTATCACTCCCCCTTGTTTGCACTTTTAAATCAAACCTTTAAGTACTTAAAATACCTGAAAAGAAAATGAAGGTGAACATTGTGGAGACCTTCATTTAGAAAAAATTATAAATGAAAACTTGATGCTACCAAATTGTGCCTTCTTAAAAATTACAGAGCATTTTTACATCATTTACAAATATATAAATAATATATTAAAGTCATAATCTGATTATTTTGCAAGACATTTTTTTCCTTTCTGAAATTTGTCCCCAGTATTTTTCAGACTTGTTGACAGGACTCTTAACTTGAAAAATCAAAAAATTTATAAGCAAAATGTTACCAAAAATTCTAACTTGTCATGCTTATACTTTTTAAAAAATTGTGTACAGATCCTTTACTAAAATCATGACTGGTTATATTGAACTCTGGTCAGAAAAATTCCTAAGTACTTACCAAACATTCCACATCCTTAATCCTAAATTCGGTAGCTTGGTGACCAAAGAATATAATCAGGTTGTTATGAAGTGCCATATACACCAGTCAGATTCTGGGTAGATATCTTGGTATGACCAAAGCCAAAGATAAGGAACAAGTAAAATTGTATAAATTGCCTCCAAAAATTTACTGTATTTATGAGTTATAATACAGTTATTTGGCAACATTTAAGTATCTAAAGCCATCTTTGTAATTGAATTTTACTATTTGAATTATTACACTTAATAAGATATGAAAGCGTGGCAACTCTGATGGGTTTTGTTGTTGTTGTTTTTGGTTTTTTTTTTTTCTTTCTGGGTCATACCCGGCAATGCACAATGGCAACTCCTGGCTCTGCACTCAGGAATCACCCCTGGCGGTGCTCAGGGGACCATATGGGACGCTGGGAATCGAACCCGGGTCAGCCGCGTGCAAGGCAAATGCCCTACCCATTGTGTTATCACTCCAGCCCCTCTGATGGTTTGATGGACCACATTTCATACTGATGGATTTGACATTCAAACATTTTACATTATTATAAGCAGTATTATAGAACATGTTATGATTTAACAAACTCACATTATTGTTATAGAAATACATAAACAGTAGTCCATAACTCATTACAATATCATTTCTAGTTATAAAGTAATATTCTAAAATCCTGAGTATTAAAATTAGTTGTTTGCAGTTTCAAAAAATTCCACTGGGTGGCAGCTTCTCTAGGAATTAATGCCTGCTTTCATCAGAATGAGCTAACTACAATCTAGAGGTAGGTCTGAAGAACATAATTCAAGGGAGAAAGGGCCCAAAAAAAATAAAATGGAAAGATCTGTGGAAGTTGACACCCTTAGGTATCTAGTCTCTGACTATGAAGAGCATGTCAAGGTTCCTTGCGAGCTAGTTCGAGACAAAACCAAAATCCATATATAATATAAGGTCAAAGCTTGCACAAACCCACGTGAATCTTAATAGGAAATTCTATTTCCTCTAGAAAATTGTAGCCAACAATTTTTGATTATTTTGTTTGTTTCCCCCATATGGGGACCATACAGGGTGCCAAGGATCAAACCTGAGTTAGCCACATACAAGGTAAGCGTCCTTCCCGTTGTACTATCTCTCCAGCCTCCTTTAGCCATCAATTTTCTCAATCTGATGCAATATTTGGAGCACCCAAAGATATATACCCCTAGAACTAAGATAATCTTTTCTGGTCTTAAGAGAGACAAGATATTGAGTATTTGAGACAGACAACATTTAAATGAAATGCTCTTGCAAATTAAAAAATAGTTCTAAACTAAAGCTGCCCATGTCAAGTACTCATGTTTAAAGATATCATATTTGGTCTTTCTTGATCAGGTTGTAGTAATTAAACATATAAATAGAAAAAAATTAAAAATATAAAATGCCAAAGCAGACTGCAATACAGCTCAGTGATATGCTTTGCATATATGATGCCACATCAACGACAGAGAGGTCATTTTAAAGTCAACTGAATTACTGAATTAAAGACTTGAATGTCAGATCCCCAAACCATAAAATTTTAAAAAAAGAAAAAAACACTGGGCAAGAGTGATAGTACAGTGGGGAAGGTATTTGCCTTGCATGCAGCAGACCCAGGTTCAATCCCCGGTCTCACATATGGTCCCCGAGCACTGCCAGGAGTGATTCCCGAGCAGTTCCAGAGCAAGGAATAACCCCTGAGCATTGCCGGGTGTGATCCAAAAAAAAAAACTGATAAACACTCTATGGTGACTCCCAGGGATGTGGGTCAGTGGTGGAGCACATGCCTTATCCCTCCATGGGAGGCTGCAAGTCCAATCCCTGGCTCTGCCTACCTTGATTAAGTGTGATCCTCTGTATTCTGCAGCAACAAACATAAGCTTTGACGCCAAGTTGGGCAAGCAGCAGCACCACAAGTGTCCAGCCCGTGGATATGGCAACAAGAAAAGGAATAGGGGAAAGGTAAATTTAAATGGGGGTGGGGAGCTGGGGAGGAGAAGCTCCATGATATTGGCTTCAATGATGTCTTTAGGAATTCAATTTCAAAGCAATGGAAATTTAAAAAAAAAATTAACTATGGGTTTATTTGATTAAATCAAGCTAAAAACCCACAGCAGGTGCCAGAAAATGGACAGACATACATGCTTAGCATGTAGGTCAGGGTTCAATCATATTCCCAATCACCAAGAGCAACCCCTACCACCCCAAGCAAAGAGCTGGGAATAGCCCCAAGCATCACCATAACCCCCAAATTTAAAAGATAGTCATTTAAAAAGTAACTTTTTAGAAGTAGGGGCCATGAACTGGAGAGAGTACAGCAGGTAAGGTGCTTGTCTTACATATGGCCAACTTGGGTTTAATCCCCAGCACCACATTTCATCCCCCAATCTCCTTCAGGAGTGATTCCTGAGCCAAGAGCAAGGAGTAAAATAAAACAGCACAAAAACATTAAGCTGGGTCCATATCTCACCCCATACATAAAAAGTGGATTAAAGACTTGATTTGACCAGAATCCATAAATACAATGAAAACAAGCAAAATTCTCCCAAGATACAAACCTCAGAGGCGGCTTCTATGACATGATTCCACTGGTAAAGATAACAAAACCAAAAATAAACAAGTGGGACTTTATCAAATTGAGGTTTTCATATGACATTAGAAACTCAAACCTTAGGGGGTATGGTGCCGCCAGCGGGTCGATCTGTACCTGTGAGGCATATTCATCAGCAGCCTGATGGCGCCTTCGGACTTCCAGATACCCCAAAATTGCCGCTGTGTCTTTGGCCAGACCCCAAAAACTTGGGGCCAAGTTTACCAAGAAAGTAAACTGCCAAAAGTTAGGTATGTGGGAGACACACGCACAAACCACGTCCAGCTCAGCTATATGATTGGAGGCATGGCCTCTCTGGTTCCTGATCGAACTGCTTAATGGCCATGATCCCAGAGACTCAGAAACAAATCTTGGAACCCAGCAGCTTTTGGCAGAGATGCATCTGGTCCCCGCAATGAGTTACCGGCGCTGGACCACCCCACGGGGGAAAGGGTGCTGTCCTTTCGCCTGCTCCCTCTTGGCAGTTTAGTGGTCGCCATCCTCAAGAAGCCATTGAACAGTCAGATGTGGGCCCGCAGTGACAAGACATGCAGGGACTCATGGGATGGGACTGGAGCTGGCCCTTACCTCCCTGCCCCAACGAGACCCTAAGTTGCCACCCATGAACAATCTCTCCAGCTCCTGATCAAGCTGCTTAACGGCCACAATCCCAGAGATTCAGAAACAAATCTTGGAACCCAGTGGCTTTGGGCAGAAATGCGTCCTGTCCCTGCAGTAGATTACCAGCACCAGGCCAACACAGGTGGGAATAGGTTTCGTGCCTTGGCCTGTTCCCCCTGGAGGCTTGGTGGCCACCATCTTCCAGAGGCCATTGGACGGTTAGGTTTGGGCCCACAATGACAAGACACGTGGGGCCTCACAGGATGGGGGTGGAGCCGGCCCTTTCCTCCCTGCCCCAAGAAGACCCCAAGTCCTGCCATGAACGAACTCTCTGGCTCCTGATCAAGCTGCTTAACGGCCATGATCCAAGAGACTCAGGAACAAATCTCAGAACCCAGCAGGTTTTGACAGAAATCCCTCCAGATTTAATTGTTAAAATTTCGGAATTCCAAAATCACAAGGCCACGTGACATCATATGTTATTCATAACCAGCAATAGAAAACAAATTGGCTACTGTTGCCTTTTCTACATATCTGAGTGTTGGGATAAAATCCCAAATAATAATGGTGGGTCTGGTGTCAAAATATTGAGTGTAATCAAAGTAGAGAGTAATGTGGAAATCATCTGCCCCACAGGTAGGGGGAGGGTGTGGAATGGAGGGTATACTGGGGGTTTTTGTGGTAGAAAATGGGCACTGGTGAAAGGATGGGTGTTTCATTGGATGACCAAGACTTAAACCCAAAAGCTTTGTAACTGCTCTCATGGGGATTCAATAAATAAAATTATAAAAAAGGGGAAAA